AATTATCAATACACAATAATATGGGGAAATCCTAAGAGGGGAATCATAGCTATGAAAATAGGTTTTGTTGAGACATGGGTTACCTTTTAGCCTTAATTAATTATTACTTGGCTATGAAGGGTCTTTCTTGAAGCTTTCTTCTTTCTTGATTTCTCCTAGAGGAATTCTTAGAACTTCTTGTGTGGTGAGGGATTATTGTGGTGGGAGTTCTAGGTGCCTCCTTATGTTCCCTATTTATATATCTAAGAGTCTTACTTAGGGCCTAATTACTATAGGTTTGCTAACTCTATTCCTTTTAGGACTAAGGATTGGGTTTAGGGCTAAGGGCCCATGGACTATGGCGGGCCCCTCTTAATTAATTATTGTGATTTAATCCTTTCTTTTGGGTAATTGGTTAAATGATTAATTGGTTTTAGGGATCGTAACACGGGGTGTTACAGTGCTGTAGGTCCGTCGCTCATGAAAACCCCGATTGTGGAGGCTTACTTATTTTTCAAAATTATGACAAGGCCAGGAGATCGGGTAAACCTGATCGGGCAGGCCAGCTCAGCGTCGAAATTCCGGTCGAAAGATGCACGACTAGGCCGTAAGGCGACGAGGTCGGGCAATAGACCAATCAGAAGACGCGCGACCAGGCCATAAGGTCGCATGGTCAGGTGTCGAACGAGTCGAATGATACACGACCAGGCCATGAGGCCACCAGGTCATAAGGCCATGAGGTCGGGCATTAGGGGTTCGGCGTATGTGTGATTGAAAGTGAAAATGCAAATTAAGACGAGTGGAACAAGTTGGGTCAAAATAAATTTCATTAAATCAAGAACGTGCCCGGTACAAATCGGGACCGGGTTCCCGATCAGAAGCACTTACAAAAATGAAGAAGCTAATCTACTACTTCTTCGAAGGTTCCTTCTCGCCCGAGGTGGCCGCAGCAGACCCGCTCGGCTCAGCCGCTCTCTCCTTCGGGTCGAACGGAGTTGGACCGGGGTTGGGAAGATCCGGGGGAAGTGCGGACAGGACCAGCTGAAGGTCGTCTTCTTCGAGGGCCTGTTCCATCCTTTTCTGGGCCTTCTCGAGCATCTTTCGTTGGCTGGCTTTGAAGGCCCACCGACCAAACGACAATATCAGCTCTTCCCCGATTTTCATTCTCCGGATCGCCTTGAGGAACGTCGTGCCCGATTCGTTGTCCTGAAAAAGGAACCGGGCCAGCTCGTCTAGGTTGTCCAACCGGGTCTTCAATTCCACGATCTCCCCGGTCGCCTTCTCCGCTGCCGTTTTCCACTCGGCGGTCTCTCCGATCGCCCGTTGCGCGACCTTCTCGCCTAGGACCCGATCGTCCCCGCTCTTCTTAAGGTCCTTCTGGACCTTCTCCAGCTCCGCCTGGATGTCCTTGACCTCCTGAAGGCGTCGGGCGGCGGCCTTCTTGTGTCGATCGGCCTCGTCGGCTAGCATGGCCCGACCTTGAAGGAGCTGGGCCGATCGGCAAGGCACATTATGTTAGCTCGACTGGGAGTACTTGACGTGTAACATTGAAAAGGGGGAAGAGTTTGTACCTCGGCCATGTCGTGACCGATCTTCTCGGCCACCTGGGTCGGGGTCAGCCGACTCAGGTCTTCTTTGGCCGGCCCGGCGTTCCCGATCCGAGCCAGGATGGTCGAGCTGCCCTTGCTAACCTCGGCCGCAGGGCTCAGACTTTGCTGCTCTCGCCGGCGCTTGAGGCCGCCGCTCTCAGTCACGCCCTTCTCGGGCACCTTTTCCTTCCCTTTCCCGACCGCCACCCGGACGACCAGGACCTTGGACGCATCCACCACGTACCCTTCGGGCGTGGTGACGGTTGAAGCGCCCATCGGTCGGGCAAGCGGGACCTCCTTCTCCCCGGCCGGCTTTGTCTTCAGCTTCTTCTTGCCGAGCGAGATCTTGGCAGGCGGGGGTAGGGGAGCCTCATCATCTCCAAGACCTGCCATTTCTGCAAAACAAAAGGAACAAGGCAGTTAGATCGGTTTAGAGCACGTTCGGGGTGTTAGGGTCGGGAGGAATGGTTAGTGTTAAACCTTTACCCTTCCGCTTGCCCCGAGCGGGCATCCTTGCAATCGTTACGCCCCGAGGCTCGAGCTTATACTTCTCGGGCACGTCGTATACGGGCTCGGGCAGGTCAGCCGCCTCGTAGCATTCGGGCGTCTTGAAGATCCGGTACTCGTAGATCTCACCGGATATTTTGGTGGCCGCGTCCTTGAGGGCCTGAGTCTCGGCTGGGATAACTTGCTTTCGGAAGCGCTGACTCCAGACCCTCTCGACCGGGAGAATCAATGGCTCGTACTTCACTAAGAACAGCCGGTTCTTCCATCCCCGGTTGTTCCCGGGCAGGCCCTCAATCGAGCACATGTCTGCCCGGGATTGGGTCATTAGGTACCCGCCCCCGTATGTGGCCGCCAACACCTTCACCTGGTAGATGAAATTGAAGAGCTCCATGGTGCAGGCCAAGTTGTGTCGACCGCAGATCTGCGGGAAGCATGCGATCATCCGGTGCGCGTTCGGGCAGATCTGCCCGGGCACCACCTGGTAGTAACCCAGGAACGCGGTGAGGAGGCCTGAGAAGGGGAAAGTGATCGAGGCCATGAGGGAGTCGTAGTGCATCCCGAGCCACTTTCCCCGGTGCCGCTCGATGATGTTCCCGAGCTGCCTGCTGGTGTCGAACTCGACCCAACCGGCGAGTGTTGCGGCGGTTTTTGCTGCTTCGCCCTTGGTTAATTTGCTCATCTGGGTCTCGACGCTCTCGCTGTTGAGAAACTCGAACCCGTCTCCGCATGGCGCCGCTGGCTCGGCCGGGTCCTCTTCGACCGGCTCTGCATCATCTGCTCGATCGCCCCCTACGGGCTCAACCTAAGGGTAATCCCCAATTACCCTTGTAGGCGTTTTCCTAACACCTTCAGCCGGGGACTTCCGTCTGCTCGTGGGCGTTTCCCCGCTCTCTTCGCTCGAGCTCCCTGATCCGCTGGAGCTCGACCCCGACGTTCCAAACGAGCTTGATGACCTTTCTTGCTCAGGGGCTCGGTCGGGGATTTGTTGCGGTCGTTGTACGACCTCCGGAGAATAGGACATGATGTCCACCTCCTCGCTAACCTGCTCGACCTCGTCGTCGTAGTCTGCGACCGAGACGTTCTGGCTGTCCGAGTTCGACATTCTTTCTACCTAAAGGTCGGTCGGGATTAGTATATAGCTCGGGACGTTGGGTCGGAGTTAGTCTTATCCTACCGCTATGCGAAGCTTAAAATAAAAACAAAGCAAGGAAGTAGAGAGCTTACCGATCAGAGAGACTTTGAAGAAGCTTGAAGTTGATTTGCTCGGTTGATCTGCTGAGGTGCTCGCTCGGGATTCTCTGAGTGTGCCGATTGAATCAGAAGTTTGAGGAAAGTTCAAATGAGGGCCTCAAGGGCCTATTTATAGGAGAGCGTTTAGGCGGGAAATGAGCCAACTTGCGTGACACGACCAGCGCTGATTCCGAGGCGATCATTGCAGTCGCAGAGGCCGGCAGTCGTCGACACGTGGCATGGGGGGAATGACAGCTGGCCGGTCGGTTTGGTGGCTGACGGTTGGGCTTCTTCATCCAGTCCCGTTTTTTTCCGGACGGTCAAAAAGACCCGGGCTGGGGGGCTCTTGGTAGGGAATACCCCGACCGACATAGCATTACCCCGATCGGTGTTCCTTCGTCTTTGTCTTCTTGTCTTTGCAGGTAACAGGTCGGGTTTCTTGTGAAGAACCCGGTCGGGATCCGATCGGGAATTACCCGAGTGGCAGTGTCGACCACCGAGCGGTAGCCCTTTAGCGAGAGAGCTAGCGAGGGACACGTGGCGGCTCCACGCATTGACAGGCAGGGCACCCGGGACAGCGACACGTGGTTGCTACGTGTGAAGCATGCCGGACGGCCGGATTTGTGTCTCCGGCTCCACGGCTATAAACACCCGCGATAGCGACAGTGTGGGGGACTTTTGGACGATCGATAGGTTGTTGTTAGAGAATCCCGACCGCAGCCAGTCGGCACTCAGAGCAATCAAGTAGATTGTACTTAGGGCTTTCACAGTGATCAATAAAAGTTATTTACTTACTTTAATTGGTCTTGTGTTATTTAATTACCGCATTACGTGGCAATTATCACTATCAGTACTGTAGATCCATAATTTCTATACTGTATGTCCATAATTTTGAGACTCTCGATGAGCTAAAATTTATACTTTAGATTCATAATTTTAGCTCACCAAAAGTCCAGAAAATTATGGATGTACAGTATAGAAAATATGGATATAGATTCGTATGCACTATGTGCATGGTGAGCGCGTGCTCACAACATAATTTGGGGAAAATAGTAGTATTAGTACAAAGCCTGAGATACTGGCCCAAAACGACAGCCCAGATAATAAATAATACAAGGTATAACCCTAATAATGAAATCGAAATAATAATGCAATTGCTAGGAATAAAATCGAACCCTGGTATATGAGTTAAATGTTAGGACCTCAAGCCATTGGACCAGGGGAATTTAGTGAACCAAGGGGTGCCTTTTAAAGGGAGACAATGCACCCTATTTATATGGTTGAAGAAGTCACGGATGATTGACAAATGTACGGCATTGGAAAACCTTCATTCTTGGCCACACACGTGTCCCCCACTACTTTACTTCCAGCGTACGTTCCATGCATATATAAGTGGAGGTTCCTACCCTTTAATTTAATACACAAGATCTTGAGTGGCTTGGGTGGATGGTTAGTGCTTGTGTTGTTAACCTATACTCCTATAGGTCATAGATTTGAATATTGTTGGCTACACTTTCTTTAATATTTTGCTCTATGCTTCCTTCTTTCCTTGACAATAAAAATAGACACCTTGCTTACTCCAACACTTTCTCAATAAAATTGGCCCCTAGGATGACGGGATCCATGCATGCCCTCATCACTCATCATGTTTAATTTATCTTAATCTCGAAATAAAAATAATAAAAACACAGAACCGACTCTTTCATTTCTTAAAATATTAATGACATTCCCAAATATACCACCATAGTAACACACCACTATTACATTTAAGTTACATATAAACATTATGTTGACAAGTTAAGCTTTGAAAAGCTTACATTATTTCATACATTCATTGGAACTGCAAACCTCCAAACACATTCACATAATATTTAATTATTTATTTAGCAAGCCAACAATAAGTTGAAAAATTCTTGGTTGATTTTAATCCATTGAGAGATAGACATCATAACAATAATTTAATAACTTAAAGTCGTGCAAGCTAAGTTATTAAAGTATTGATTGATGATCTGATCTGGCTATGAATTAAAACAGCCAAGAATTTGTGAGATTTAATTTGTCATGAGATGGTGGGTCTCAATGTCTTTGGTGACATCTAAAACAAACTGCATCAAAGTGTGTGGCTCTGGGATACTCTCATTCAGCTTCTCAAACTCTATGGTCCAAGTCACCAAGTTGTTTATGCCCCTTGTGTCAACATGAACATTTAAGCTCAAACTCTTGTAATGTTCTGTCAGTTCACCTCCAATCACCTTGAATTTCACTGTTTTGTGTTCCTCATCTATGGCTTCAATTATCTCTTTTGCAATCTTCTTTTTCCCATCTGCATTCATACATTTTCATGTAAATATTATCATCAGATCTAAAATGATACCAAAAGAGATAATAAATTTTCTAGCTTAGTATGAAATAATATAATTATAAAATGAACCTCATTCTTAATTTTTTTTTTAATAATTATAAAATTGATCCAATATTTTTTTTATTACTAAAAACTCTCAATTTCAACAATTGATGAATTGTGATGGTCAGTTAAGAACATGGTCTTCACACACACAGAGAGTAATAACCAGATGAGACCACCTCTTCCCGTGAGACGTTTCATAAATGTACACAAGCTACTACAAGAATGCACAAAGATTAGATTGTATGCAATTCTCTCAGCATGATTGCACATAAGCTACCATATATATGTGCATTCGTGTAGTAGTTTTTGTGCATTTTCAAAGGATAGTGAGACACACAAGAAAAGGTTGATGCATAACTTTAAGTTGTTCATAGATTACTGGTTTTAATAAATTGAATACGATTGAATATCATATTATACGTATATAAATCGTAATGAACATATAAAAAGCATATTATTTCACTTCTACTTTAAATAATGCATGCGAATAAATAAGTATTGTCAACTTGCTGGAACAACTTCCCAGGATCGAGATCTTGAAAATGATCATCTTTAGAAAAAAAAAAAAATCGAGACGACAAAGCCAATATAAAATTTTTATGCATATTTATTTATATATTATTAGTCCTTTAGATTTAAAGGTGTAGTATTTAATTGTTTTTAATCTGCAAATTAAAGAAATTTGTATTCATAACGCTATAATCACTGTTCGGATCATATAAAAATTATATTGGGGGTTTGGGTAAAGAGTTGTTAGCTGATTGTGTTAGTGAGTTTGACTAGTCGATAACATTAACTGATTGTAAAAAAAATATTTATTAAATTAACTGTTACTTGATAGCTGATTACATGCAAAATGATTTTCTTAAAAAGCTGATTGAAGATGCTTTTTAAATTTTAGCATTTTGGAACAACAAGTTGTTGCAAAAAAAATTATTTAATTGATAAAACAAGTCAAAATTGACGCTAACTATGTTACCAAACATGGTCAATTTGTAATTGAAATCTAAGCATTTAATTAAATTGATTCACCCTTCATTTAATTTGTATAGTATATATATAGGCCCTATTTGGTAAAATAGTTAGCCTATAAATCAATTTTGACTTATTTGACCACTATTAGCTATATATTAACTTGATTAAACAATCAATATGACTGTTCGAATAAATAACTTTTTGTAACAACTTATTGCTCAAAAATGCTAAAATTAAAAAAACAGCTCAAAGTAGCTTTTTGAAAAAGTCAATTTTGTATGTAAGTAGAGAACAGCTAATAATAACTAATTTACTAAATATTTTTCTACAATCAACTAGTCAAATCCAATAATCCAATCAACTAATAGCTATCAATTAACGACCATTTACCAAACACACCCATAAGCATAAGTATAGAGTGGAGTATGTAGGAGGAGATACCATGAGTAAAAGTCCAGCAGATGACAGAGCCAACGGTTCCCCACTCACCCTCATGCAACTCACAGCCATGAATCTTGTCTGAGCTCATTGTGGAGATATTATGTGGTCTATACCTAAAGAGTTCATGGAACACATCCCCATCGGACTTGATCTCTATTTTTGATACTAACTTCCCACTTAGATTGCTCATCTCTCTCTCTCTCTCTCAAATATGAATATATTTGGGTTTGAGGTTTTGGATTCTCAGCACTGGATAGATGGCCTTTAAATAATTGCAAAGCGGTGGAGTACGCCAGGTAATTAATGCAGATTAGATAATTATTGATGATCGCAGCTGCCAACAATAATTAAGTCATTTATAGCTGTACTGTGGTCCACATGCAAGCAAACTGAGATTATGGATGATCCCCAAACAATATAATAGAAATGATTCTGAATGATCACAATTAATATTTATTCCGTATATATAAATTATGAAAGAAATGTCACAATGTCAAAAAGATATTATTCTCATTGAAAATCTAAACTCTCGTGTGATATGAATCAGGTTACTCAAAACTAACTTTCAAGATTATTATCTGAGACTAAAGTCCTTACAACTAGTCTAGAATCATGCTGTGTAAATAAAGTGCAGAAAATACGAATGAGGCACAAGTTGTTAATGCAGTTGAATCTGGGGCAGAAGTCCAAATCAAAATCAATTTACTTAGCAAGATTAAGTACAATAACACAGAAACTTATACAATTGGATCACCTCCCCAGTAGAATTGAAGGTCTTTTGGGTGATCCAACAACATATAACATTAAACATAATATGATGCTCAATTATTACAATTTTCTTATAATTGGTCATTAAGTATATTACGGCTAGACTTGTTTGCTATCTTTGGATATGCTAAACAACCCAATCGAATATAAATAATTAACCACTATAATTATGAAATAATTGATCAACCTTTGGGCAACTCTTAAATATTTCATAATTATTAAACTTCAATTTATCCCATATAATAAAATTTAACATCATGTCATCTAACTATAAGCATCACATAATCACGGGCAATTGATTTTCATTTAAATTTGATATCCTTGAAACTTTATAATTTGGTCACTTTGATATTTGCTTTTTGCGGGCGGATGATTGTTTTCTATTTCTTCGGGCTAACAAGCATGAAGCTGTGAGGATGAAAACTATTCTGGACACTTATTCGGAAACTTTAGGGCAAAAGATTAACTATGATAAATCGCCCGTGTGTTTTAGTTCTAATGTGCTGCATGCTGCCCGGGCTGAAGTCGTACGTATTCTTCGGGTGGAGGAGAGAAAATACCACAGGCAAATATTTAGGTCTCTCTTCTCTTATTGGTAGAAGAAAAAATGAGATCCTTGGTTTCTTTAAAGATTGGATTCTTGCGAAAGTTAGGAGTTGGAATGCAAAATTCCTATCCCGAGCAAGACAAGAAGTGATGTTGAAAAACGTGATACAAGCAATGCCTTCGTTTGCCATGATGGTTTTTCTTCTCCCTATGGGTGTGTGTAAGGAAATTGAAACTGCTATGAATGAGTTTTGGTGGACGGGTTCAATTGGAAACGGTAAAGGAGTGCGATGGTGATCGATCTTGGAATGGGTTATGTGCTCCAAAGTCTAAAGGGGGGATGGGTTTTAGAACCCTTCGGGAGATGAATTTAGCCTTTCTTGGTAAGCAAGTGTGGAGGCTCGTAACTAATCCGGCGTCCCTTGTCTCCCGGGTCTATTAGGCTCGCCAATTCCCACATTGTAATTACTTTGAGGCTACAGAAGGAAGCAACCCTTCTTACATGTGGAGGGGAATGTTAGAGGTACAAAATATAATTAGGGACGGTTGTTGGTGATATATTGGCACAGGGCATGATACTGTGATTGGTAGAGATGGGTGGTTGCCGACTGATGATTAGTCGTATGTCCAGAGTGTCCTTCATGAATCTGTCGTTAATGCTCCTGTTTCATCCTTATTGAATAACCAAGGTACGTATTGGGACATGGGTTGTATTAGGGATATTTTTGAAGATTGTGATGCTAATTTTATTTTGAAAATCCCAATCAGCAATTGTAAACCAACTGACTATTGTATTTGGCATTGGGACCCTAAGGGTGTATATATGGTTAAGTTGTGTTACCGACTTCGAACCATGTTCTGGATGATACACCTTGGGAAAAACATTGGAATCTCCATGTGCCGCCTAAGGTTAAATCATTTTGTTGGCGATTGGCTTCATCATATTTGCCAACACAAGATGCCCTTGTATCAAGACATATTGATTGCAATTTGGTTTGTCATATGTGCAGGAGTGAAAATGAAAGTGCACTACACATGTTTTGTACATGCTGAGAAGCCATCAAAGCATAGAACCTGTTAGGGTTACCGATCTCCCAATCGATGGGTAATAATGCTTCTGAATGGTTTTGTCAGTGTGTTTTCAATTTAACTGATGACAACCTTTGCAAGTTTTTAATGACATGTTGGGGCCTATAGTGCAATAGAAATGACAATGTTTGGAAAGGGGCAGTATTTGCATTGGACATAACTGTTAGTGTTTTGTTTTTCTCCATAAAACCCCAACATATGATTGGCAATATTATTATGGCAAACTAAGATAGGGTTTAGCTTGGTGTCTGTTTGCTGCTACAGAAGACTGGTTGATCAGAGACATCAATAGACACACTGACACTGTAGATCTGATAAAGGAAGAAGTTTCGAAAAAACACTGAACGCGGTTTGAAGACTTTTGGAAAGAAAATCAGCCGATCTGTTTTGGAAGGTATGGACCGAATCTCTAAGATTGCATTCTTCACAAATCATCCTACCATCTACAATCAAAGATATTTTTGGAGAGTGGCTTTTCTAAGGAAGTATAAGTACCCTCATTCGGTCATTAATTAGGGTTACGTTTAGTAAGAAAAAAAAGGCACTCCTTGATATACAGAAGATCACATCTTTGATTATGCCTCTTCTCAAGAATATATGTTCTTGGTGATTATGATGAAGAACTTGAGAAGAACTATCATTGCTTAAACGAAAGGACGCGAAGATCACTCAGTTGTGGGAACAACGTGGGACTGCGTCATTGAAGCAGACTGCATTAGAGTTAGCTCTCCAACCGAAAGGATTTCGTTGGACTTCTACATGCGTGGCTCTCCGTCTTCAACAATCCACTAAACCTTTGTAGACTGGGTACGTACCTTGTGTGGGGCACTTGGGTGAGTGTAACACCCCAGATTTTTAGGATATTTAAAACTTATAAAATAAAGGCGAAAACCCATTAAATCCCAAAACATAACACAAGAGTATGGGGTGCTATGCCACACCTGAGCTAGAGAACTCAGGTGCACAGGCTAACTAACTAATATCCTCAAATAGTATCAATACTAAATCGTGGCACGCAGGCCGAAGGGGAAAACTATCTAAGCTATGCCCAAGCTTCTAGCGCGCTCCAGTGATCTACTCGTCTGTGCCTGAAAGCCAAATATATCTGTTCAGCGAGAGATGCTGGTAACCCACTCCAACGCGTGGAAATACATTACATATAGAGATATATATAGATATACGAAAATCATTTTGAGCATGAAGATATATCCTACGAACTCTAGCTTTTAAAACCGGGAATGACTCGACAGATAAGGCTAGACACAAGCAACAGTATAACAAGCATATACAATCTACGATAAGCAAGATGGATAAAGCTGAGCACAATTAATAATCATAACCCAACATAAACAATCCCTAGCATAAATCCCATAGTCAAATCCCCCAATATACTCATAAACACAACTCATCCATATCTCATCAAATAGCACACTTTGTTGGCGCCACAGGACCAATCGCATGCCCATACATGAGGGTCAGCGCATATAGCTCTGACACGGCCCCGCAGCACCCTGCCCCGTCTCACATTACGGAGAAGCCGATCGCAACCGACTGATGGACCTTTGTCCTACATAATATTTATATACCTGACCGGTCTTTACCAGCCTGGTTAACAGTTGGGATGGTTCTCAGCCCATTCAACTGCCCGTATAGTGGACCTTTGTCCTATATAATATTTATATACCTGACCGGTCTCTACCAGCCTGGTTAACAGCCGGTATGGTTCTCAGCCCATCCGACTGCCCGTATAGTGGAACTTAGTCCTATATAATATTTATATACCTAACCGGTCTCTACCAGCCTGGTTAACAGCCGGTATGGTTCTCAGCCCACCCGACTGCCCGTATAGCCCGAGTGATCTTAACCAACTCGGGGTTACATGCGCACATAACACATAGCAAGTACATGCAACCCACATTAACACATTGGGAAGGGGGAGAAAACGTATAACAAAACCTATGCGTGATCCATCACATACTAAGAATAGTCCTAAGGGGTTCATACATCTTCCACCTAGGTCAACGGGATGCTAATTCAACTAGCATGCAATATAATAGACTCATAAACCTACGAACGGTACCCGAAATATCAAACTAGACATAGGCACGATAAACGGAGTCCGTTGGGACACCACGGGGGACGGGGAAACATCAAACGGGGAAGCCGGGAACCCAAAGTGGGGGAAATTCTAGCGGGTAGCCGGTGGGTGGGGGGCCACCCGCCGGTAACGCTGTTCCGGGCAGCGGGTCGCCGGCGGGTAGCTGCCCGCCCGCCGGCTGCCCGCTGCCGGAGATACAATTTCCGGCCGTGGGTATGTGGCGGGTCCCCTACCCCCCACCTACCCCCCACTGACTCTTATCACACAATTTCGCCCCGGGAACCATTGTGGAACCCGAAACCATGCTTAGACACTTTACAACGCAATTAACGACAACACGTAGACAATTAACGAATCAAATACGAGAAACGAACGGCACATAACCTATCATGCTTTTCTAAACATAATCAACACCCAAACATGCGATTTCCCCACCCGATAATCCAAGAATAATGTTATACGATACAATCTAGGGTTCTAATCACTTTTATATCAATAAGGATACGATTCGTCTTCTAATTGCAAGATTCGGTAAGAATAACATATAAGCATCAAGAGCATCACACAATTATCAAGAACAACACGTAATCGTCAAGAACTCTATATAATCATCAAGAACACCATAATTATCAAGAATCTCCCAACATCAAGATTATCAAGATCCCTCATGGGATCATCACATCAAACATTAATAACCATCATCATATCTCGCCAACCACAATAATATGGGGGAAACCCTAAGGGGGA